GAATCGCCATTGGCTAGTATATTTTTTTGTTTACTCGCCAGACTGAAATACTAATTATATATATATATATATATATATATATAAAGTTATACATATTATTTTTGTGATTGCATGTAACTAACATTTCACAGTTACATTGCATTTACTTTTTTCAAATGCATTGATTAAAAATTTATAATTAATGAGTAATTAATAAATAGTTATAAGCAATTAAGTAAATATATAAAAAAATTATATATTATATATATATATATAATAAAAATGTCCTATTACTTTTCTTAGTGATAGTTCAGCCTAAAATGTAGTTGAACAATTCACGTGTGAGCAACCAATTAACTTTTGGCTGAATCTTTGACACTCAATGGCTGCCATAGTTCTCAAATATCATTCACAATTTAATTCAAACATGGCATGTCAAGATGCCACAGTCCCCATTAAAAATGAACACATTCTGCTAAACCTCACCTTTTGTGTTCCATGGAAGAATGAATGTCACAGCTTTGGAACAACAGCAGAAAGCCTTTTAATTTGTAAGAATACTTAATGTTCTTGTAACACGTGCTGTCAATTCTCCAATATTCCCAGGTTTGACCTCCAGACGAAGATCTTACTCACGCTGACAATTGAAAACGCGTTCTATCACAATAAGTCCTACCTCCTTGAGAACTCAAAGACATATTTCAAATTGGCAACAGATGAGAACGGTATGTGGATAGTATTTGCCTCCAACATTGACGACAACATAATGGTGGCGCGACTGGATGAGAAATCGTTCTCCATCACCACATACATCAACGCCACCTATCCCAGGACCAAGGCCGGTAATGCGTTTATCGCCTGCGGGATTCTCTACATCACGGATACTAAAGACACAAAGGTGACATACGCCTTCGACCTCCTGAAAGAGAAGTCGGTTAGGATCCTCTACGTCACGGATACTAAAGACACAAAAGTGACGTACGCCTTTGACCTCCTGAAAGAGAAGCCGGTTAGTGTCAGTTTAGATCTGAGGGCACCTGGAGGGGTTCTGTCCATGATCTCATACAATCCCAGAGACAAACATCTCTACATATGGGACAGCAGCTACGTCAAATCATACCAAGTCCAGTTCCTCTCAGATGAATAATCAAAAATGCATGACATAATTGGCATATTTATAAGCAAATAACCAATGTTTCTGTTGTTACCCATGTGTAGTACCCCATATATATATATTTTTTATTTTCTTGAGTGGATGATATATCAAGCGCTAAATTGTCTATCTAGTGGTGTTCGCACTAAGTATTTGGATTTGGATTGGATTTAAGTACCCTTAAATTTCAATGTGTTACATATCAAAACATAAAACCAAGTGTCATCGAACATCAAACAAACAGGGCTTTTAATCAACTGGTGATTTTTTTTGTAGTTTTATTAAATCAGTTCTCTTCAAGTTTACACATTTTAATCATTTAAAATGTGTGAACTTGAAGACAAGACACTATATTTTCAATTCTGGCTATTCAATCGATTATCAATTCTTTAATCATTTAAAGTCAGAATTGAAAATAGTGACTTGTCCAATATAAACTTGGAAAAAAAAAAAACGGTATAAATCCTGCACACTACTCAAACTTGCGCAATTACAAATTTTTACTAGTAAGGTTTCAAGCCTGAGAAGGGTCAATTGATTGGAACAATGCTAATAAAATTTTGCAGATACACGTTTGAGTTTAGTGCAGGATTTCAGTTTATCATTTAAAGCCTAACAAACATCTTTGTAAAATGTTTAGGTTGAAAATTAAATTTGCGCTTACTTTCTTAAAAATAAATGCACTTGGTTTTATTTTTTTCTCTAATGTAATGACATTAAGGCATTTTTAAATCTGACTTTAAGTGTCTAAATGCAATTTGGGGTCACCACATACATCAACGCCACCTATCCCAGGACCAAGGTCGGTAATGCATTTATCGCCTGCGGGATCCTCTACGTCACGGATACTAAAGACACAAAAGTGACGTACGCCTTTGACCTCCTGAAAGAGAAGCCGGTTAGTGTCAGTTTAGATCTGAGGGCACCTGGAGGGGTTCTGTCCATGATCTCATACAATCCCAGAGACAAACATCTCTACATATGGGACAGCAGCTACGTCAAATCATACCAAGTCCAGTTCCTCTCAGATGAATAATCAAAAATGCATGACATAATTGGCATATTTACAAGCAAATAACCAATGTTTCTGTTGTTACCCATGTGTAGTACCCCATATATATATTTTTTTTATTTTCTTGAGTGGATGATATATCAAGCGCTAAATTGTCTATCTAGTGGTGTTCGCACTAAGTATTTGGATTTGGATTGGATTTAAGTACCCTTAAATTTCAATGTGTTACATATCAAAACATAAAACCAAGTGTCATCGAACATCAAACAAACAGGGCTTTTAATCAACTGGTGATTTTTTTTGTAGTTTTATTAAATCAGTTCTCTTCAAGTTTACACATTTTAATCATTTAAAATGTGTGAACTTGAAGACAAGACACTATATTTTCAATTCTGGCTATTCAATCGATTATCAATTCTTTAATCATTTAAAGTCAGAATTGAAAATAGTGACTTGTCCAATATAAACTTGGAAAAAAAAAAAACGGTATAAATCCTGCACACTACTCAAACTTGCGCAATTACAAATTTTTACTAGTAAGGTTTCAAGCCTGAGAAGGGTCAATTGATTGGAACAATGCTAATAAAATTTTGCAGATACACGTTTGAGTTTAGTGCAGGATTTCAGTTTATCATTTAAAGCCTAACAAACATCTTTGTAAAATGTTTAGGTTGAAAATTAAATTTGCGCTTACTTTCTTAAAAATAAATGCACTTGGTTTTATTTTTTTCTCTAATGTAATGACATTAAGGCATTTTTAAATCTGACTTAAGTGTCTAAATGCAATTTGGGGCTACCATATTTATTTATTTTTTTGGGCATTTTTACTTTTATAAGTTGCATTTTCCTTTTTTGGCTAACATGTATTTTAAGTGAATATTTATTAATTCATGCAGCATGAACAGTTTTTGCGCAAATTGTTCATAAAACCATTGTTATTGTTTACATAGAAATGGTTTTACTAAGTTTACACAGCAATTCATTCTCTTCTTGTTTCATGAATGAGGCCAAATGTGTGTAAATAAATAAATGGAATATGTATGTGCATTACATACGTAGTAATTTCGTACACTATTTAATTTCACAGCATCACTTCAGTAAGACTTTTCCAGGTAACGTCACTCATAAACCCTACATGATAAGATTAGTTATGTAAGTAAAGGTGAATTTTGATTTTAATGTTGACTTCATGTTTATAGAAATGTATTTGACTGCTAGTATGTATACGACACAAAATATATTTGCCACATATTGTTTAATTTATATTGCATGCATGTTTATGTAGCCACAAATGCTTGGAAATCCTGAAATAAACACTGAAACATGTTAATCTAAAGACACGTGGAGTTGAAACAGTAAAATGAAATGACTTAATTCAAATCAAAATAATTTATTCAACTTACAAAGGTAAAACTTTGACCATGACAGAACTACCTGTTCCTTCGGAAATACCAACCAGTGTTTTTGGGGTTTGCATTTTCACACACGCAGACAGATCAGGCTGTTCAATAAATACACATCAGACCATGGTTTAACATTTAAAATACGTACAGTTGACATGGTGCCCAGCAAATCAGACAGAACCACAAATATGATTTTAATAAATACCACATACATCAAACCAAATATACGACTATTCCAGCAGTTATGATAAAATAAAATAAAATAAACTAAAAGCATTATTGTGTTTGTACAAGCTATTGTCGTAATTCATTTTTATATGTATATATATATTTATTCATTTAAAACTATTTCCACTTTTTACTACTCGGCCACACAGCCAGACATTCATTAGTAAATAACAGTTTCCTCTAATAGAGCTTTTATCACTTGTAACGTAAGAGTGTTATTGTTTCCCCAGATCTGAGTGCAAATATTTAGAAAAGATAAAACATGAAAAAATAAATATGTAAATAAATAAAACACAAACCTATTCAGTGTTGCACTTTGTCCCAGACATCTAAAACATACCTTACATTCCTAAAGTTAAATATAAATACAAGGATTTGTAAAAGAACAAACGAAACAAAAACGAGTAAACGAGCAAACGAACGAAGAAATATTTTGTGCAAAAACTAAACGTTTTCTGTTCAAAGTGAGAATTTCAGAGATGAAAAGGTCAAACACGTCATTTCCAGGAGCAAGCATCATCGTCTTGCGTGGAATGTTTAGCTGTTTGGCTGCTATGGAAACAAGCGTGTCAACAGCAGCGTGTGCGTGTGGAAGGGAGGGGGTGTGTCTCTGGGGCCGCGACGAACCGCCGGGCTGCCAGGGTACTGTGCCATTTTACACTCCGCAAATACATTAGCAGCCAAGGAGAAAACGTACAGTAAAAACAAAATCCAACAACTGGACTTACACTGATAGCAGAAGCACAATGCTGGCATTTTTAAGATGCTAAAATGGGCACAAAATGAACACACACACATAAAAATGGAGCTTTGAGCACTTTTACAGAGCACGACCAATAACCTGGGAATGGAGTGCGATGACTCAAACAGCTCATGCATACGGCTTTCCTACCAAAAAAACGTTATCTGGATTCGTCTCCAGAAATGACAGTAGTCGATCGTTAGAATCGAGGGACCTCGTGCGTGCTTTCCAATGTCTTTTGTGGGGCGGGGCGGTAAAGATATTCTGTAGCGCGAGATATTTGTTACCGGTTTACGATTCACAGCGGAGGTGCCGATGAAAGCTTTAGTGTTCTACGGCCGCTCCGGTGTTAGAGGATCTGGAATATACTGGCCGGAATGTTGTAGCGGTCTGGAAGGACCCTCATTTTCAGGGTCCCGTCGGCTCCGCAGGTGAAGATCCGGTTGCCTGGGCAGGTTTCGATTTGCATCACGCCGGCGCCGATGTTTCGGAATATGGATTGTTTAGCGTGCTCGGTGCTGAAGGAGTGCATGAGACCGTGACCCGCCAACTTCCAGACCTGAACCAGAACAGGAATACAATTATTAGAAATGATGCGCAGAAATGTATTTAACAAGCAACATTCAAATAAAAAACTGAAATGTACAGAAAAATTGAAATTACAATTGCTGTATTGTTTTTATACAAATTTTCGAATGATATATGTACTCGGAATAAACACTGACACAGTAAAAAACATGCCATCAGAGAAGCGCTAATTAAATATCACCACTGTTATGGCTTAAGCCAATAATTCATTTTTTGGCCGAATACTTTTGATTGTCGAAATGTAAGTGCATCATTAAATATTAGTTATAGATAGATACATTAGCCAGGTTGATTGACTGACTAATCTTTACCTATTTGAGATTACCGTATAAGCTGTTACAAGCTGTTACTGCCTTGTGTCAGCTGCAAAAACTAGCAGACTTGCATTATTTTTGTGAATACAGTAAAATATTGTGTACATTTAAAAAAAAGTATATTTTGAAATATTTTGAAACCTTTCTCAATTGCTATCACTAAAGTGTATTATGTACACTAACATTACATCCACCATTGGACCATCATGCTCTCTAAATACTGTTATAGCCCACTGAAATTTTTTAAAATAAAATTGTGTTTTATGCTGGAGAAAGAGGCAGTTCAAAACATTATCAAAATTGTTCATCATATACGTAAAAAGAATACGTACATAAGTAAAAAGAAACACCCTTAAAATGTAACACTGATATTTTTTGTATAGGCATGAATACTACTTAAATTACAACATGCTAAATTCTTTACATTCATTTTGGAAATGCATAATCACCAGAGACTGTTGGCAGCCTAAAGGCTTGTTTACACCAAGATAAATGTTCAGTGCAAAAATTCTATGTTGTTAACATTTTAATTTGAATAAACTGGTTAATATATCCGTTCAGACTGACAAGAACATTCATATGCCGTTAATGTAACATTCTTTTTAAACTTAGAGGTGTTGTAATTTCTCATTTTTATTCAGGTTGTCTACCATTTTTTGGTCTTTTTATCAAGTGACATATGAAAGTCTAACTGGACACAGCCTTGGACATCAACAACAAAAATTTAAATGCTAATATTTATTAATTTTTTTTATCCTCAAAATGTAAGATTGCATTATTATTTAATTTGCACATTTAACAAATAATTAGGGACAAATTTAGAGAATCTTTTGATAATGAGCCATGGACAAAACATCACAAAATGTTGAAGATAAAAGGTAGACAACTGCTTGATTTTGTAGTTTTCATACATGCTAGTGAAGATGGCAGCTGCTGAGGAGGAGGAGATCTCAAGTCGTTTGGTAATAATTTAAATTCAGTCTAATTATTTATATTTTGGAGTTATCAATACTAAATCAATATTAAAAAATAAATAAAAAGCCTAAATATCCACATAACAGCAACAGGACATGTTTAAGATGAATTGTGTCATGTTAGTGGAATATACCTTCATGTTCCCTTCGGCTGAGCCGGTGACAAAGAAGTCTTCAGTGGAATCCATGGCCAGCGCTTTGATGGCCGAATCATGTGCCTGGAATGTGTGGAGCAGCTGTCTCTGACGGATGTCAAAAATACAGACGAAGCCCTTCCGGCCGCCCGTGATGATTAGCTGCTGTTTAGGAGCATATTGAAGAACCGTTGCACCATTCTCATGGCATTGGAACGCTGGATATAGAGAAATACCAGAATGCGACCTTTTTACGACATTTTTTAAACAATATTGAAAATGAAATAAAATCACTTATTCAACATATTTTTAAAAACATCTTCCCTCAAGAGCCTGTGAACATACCGTGTATCATTGAGTTACTTGGAGAGACCAGAGTGTCCCATAAACAAACATTCCTGTGGAAGAAAGTGAAACATTTCCTTAAAAATGTTGTATATAGTCTGTTTCTATGTGACAGTAAGATAAATCATTTAACTGACCTGCCATCATTGGACTGTCCTGCTGTGGCGATCAGACTGGAGGATGTAATGAAGGCGAAATCACCGCAGCTTTTACTGTGACACTGCCAGCTCTGAGACAGACACACAGAGATGCTTACTATTTCATATTATATGGTGACATATATTTAATAGTGAAGTTAGTTTCAATAAAAGTTCTAGTAATATTTGTTTGCAGATGCCACATGCTTTAATTCAATCACACTATGAGGGCAGTTTGTGACTGTCAGTAATGTAAAGCTTGTGCAGTACCAAGATAAAGCTCTTACCAAATACGGTTTGGGGTTCGAGGAGGTCTGATTGACTTGCCAGAGGCTCAAAAAGCCCTCGCCATCTGCAACACCACACTGCAGACAGACGGAAAGAATTAAGATATTTAACCGCACAGCCAATATTTTTAGCTGTATGATGCATAATGATTCATATAAAGGACAGAAGACACAACAGGATGACCTTCCCTGAACAGATGTGCTGCTGTACTGGACTTATTACATAACACCACAGACAACAATTAACACAGCACTGATGTACTCACAAGTCAACAGCACATGAACCTGGAAATTATTATACACCACATAAGTAACAGCTACTAAAGGTCAAAAGCCCTTTCAATGGATAATTATCAATTTCTATTTTAATATCTTTTGTGCTTTGAAATGCAATTTATTCCTGTGATGACAAAGCTGGATTTGCAGCAGTCATTTCTTCAGTCTTTTTATATATTTTTTGTAATTAATATGAATGGGAAAAGTGCTTAATATTTTTGTATAAATGTGGAAAGTGTGATTTTTTTCAGGATTCTTTGATTAATAAAAAGTTCAAACAAACAGTATTTATTTGAAATAGAAATATTTGTAACAATATAAGGGCCATTCGACAGAACTGGTTCAACGTCAGAGTCGGAAACGTCTTGAAAAAAAAAGTGTCTTTTGTATGTATGCAAACTGTATAATATCCAAGGTACACATTTCTAGTAATTGTGTAGTTAATTCTCATATTGCATTTTCAGAAAGTTTTGGAATCTCCCCAAATTTGTTACCACCGAAAAACAGTAAGAATAATTTAATTAGTAGGGTTATATTGACCTATTAAGATTTTTCCTTACATCTACATTGTAAATATATATTTTTTGCTATTTTATTAAAATTCTGAGGTAAATCAATAACAATTACATTTAACAATATTTCAAGTGGAATTTATGAGATTTGTTGTATTTTGAATCCAAGTTTTATCATACTGATTTCAAAGTTAAGGATTCATTAGTTTGAATATACATTGAACCAAAATCATAACAGATCAATCAGAACATCTTAGTTGATAATTCAGTATACTTTATTTTTGACAAAACATTCCATGTTTCGGTAGTGACTGCAAAAAAAAATAAAAAATACAAAAAATATTTCAATATAATTTTCATATGTTGAAATTTAGGGGTTAGGGTTCGGGGCAGCCATCTCCCAACTTAAAGCACTATATATATATATATATATAAGCTTACTAATATTTTAAATATTATTGTGGGTTTCAATAGATAATAGAAGGATTTTAGTGAACATTTAAGATTTGAATACTTAAATGCTTTTTAAATAATCAACATTGGCTACCAGAAATCGCTTACTCTGCCTTTAAAAGTATTGATTTCAAAGCTTACTGACCCAATATTTTGAACAGTAGTGTATGTCTAGCAATAAAAGTGAATTAATTAAAAAAAGTAAAAAAATTATTCATTTGGTTATGAGGTTTACTAATTTTGGTAACGAATGCTTCAATACCT